ATTGTATTGTATTGTATTGTATTGTATTGTATTGTATTGTATTGTATTGTATTGTATTGTATTGTATTGAATAAATCAAAACAATGGTATATAGAAAAATGGTGACTCTGCAGAAATATTATGAGACTCCAAACCCATATAACCGTGATGGCGAACCTGTGGCACATGTGACAGAGGTGGCACGCAGCGCCCTATGTGGGCACGCGAGCCGTCGCCCCAGCTCAGCTCTGTGGTGCATGCGCTCATGTCTCCCGGCAGCCAGCTAGTCTTCAGGTCTTTGCTGTGCAGGGCCCTGCAGGGCACATATTGGAGGGCGGGCGCATGCACAGGGGGTGGGGTGCATGTGGGGGAGCATGAGTGCATGTGGGGTGCATGCGCAGGGGACGGAGTGCAAGCACAGGGGCAGGGCACATGCAGAGGGCTGTGCACCTTGCATTTGGGGAGTTCGGGCGCGTGCATGCTTTGGGCAGTCGGTCCAGAAAAGGTTAGCCATCATTGCCATATGACGTTCTCACAATATATTGTGTTCTGAGTTACAAAGCACATTGAACACTGGGGTGTTTACCAAACGAACAATCTCAGCCACCATCCTCAAAAGAACCCATAGAACAAAGTAAATATCATTTTTCCAATGGAAGCTCTTAAATCAGGGTTGTCAAATTCCCAGCCCATGGGTCAAATGCGTCATGGGCTGGCCACGCCCAGTTTAGCAAAGGGGGGAAGTCCTAATAGGTCATGTGACACCACCATGACGATGTGAGTTTGACGCTCCTATCTTAGAGCTTTTCTCCAGCAATTTGAGTAGGGGACAAGGTAAGTAGTAGACTCTTACTTCCACCGCAATTCTCTTCATCACTTCCATCCTTGCAATCATTGTCTCCATCACACTGGAAAGCACTGGGCACACACTGCCCGTTTCTGCATTCCACCAGTCCTTGGCTATGGCATGCTGGAAACAAGAAGACGATCACTTTATAGGCTTTTCTATTAGCAGATTTATTATTATTTTTTTCCCCTTCTACAACACCTTACAGTCATTACATCAACATTGTTATGTCATCATACCTGTACATGCATATAATATTTCACTTCTATATTTACACACCTTTATACACAGTTCTATATATATTTATATAAATTGTTTTTTTTGGCTTA